TCAAGAGTGCTGAGTTTAACTGGAAGGCTATGGAAATCTCCTGCAACTTGATAAACAGGAGCCTGACACGTCCAGTTTAGATGGCAGTGGTGTGGAAGATGGATTGGAACAGACTGGATTTGGAGGCGGGAAGGCAAGTTGGAAGGCTCTTTTTATAATCAGGGCAGAGTGGCTGATGTCACGAGGTTGCAGGGGAGGAAGGGTGTATCACATAAGAGAAAAAATTGCAATAGATTAATTGGAAGAGCAGAATCACATGTAGGGGGTGAAAGAAAGACCAGAGAAGCTGGTGTGAGACCAGCTGCCCTGACTTGGAGGACATGGGCACTGGGTGGCAGCATTCTCTGAGACCGGGAGCAAAACAAAGACACAGGTTTGGAAAGGGCTCTATTTGGGGCAGGATGACTATGAAGCCCATAGGCCATCCAGGGGGAAATACCAGGGGGGTGGCAGGAGGTTATATGCCTGGATCTCAGAACAGAGACTTAGCACAGTGTGGTCTGTGTAGAGAAAGAAGTAGAGCCTGGAGGGCTGTGTGGTCAGAGGCAGAGTACGTGGGGGGAGGGTGTGCCTGCGGTCTGCCTGAGAGTGATGGCAGCAGCACGGGCTGATTTTCTTATCATGTCTCAGCTGCATCTGGTTTCCGTGTCATGCTCCAGACAGGCACAATCAGGAACTGACTCTCACGCAGGCTTTGAGAGATCCTGATGACAGATTCTGTTCTATTCTTTGTTAGGGGTTGGAAATGATAGACCATCTTCATCCCTACCTCCCATCCTCTAGGACACCAGAATAGCTTTCCCCAAATCTCTCTGATTAAAGAAAAACTACTTATGGGAAAGGGACTTACTGTTCTTTAAGCAGATTTCCAGGCCCCTCCCTTGGAAATTCTGATTCTATGGACCTGGATGAATGATATTTTCAACTACTTTAGATCATGCTATCAGAGAAATTTGAGAAATGCTACTCAGGCCTGAACACAAACTTCTTGGAATCCCATCCCAGACTGAGCCCCTGCTTCCTGTCCTAGATCAGATTACAGTGGATCTATAAGGAAACCATAGACTGAACCTCTAACTATGAATCCAAACCCACCCTAACCCCAGCATACACCAGAAGAGCACTGGCCAGTGGGGACAGTTCTGTGCAATCCTGTCTATTCTTGTGAAGTGGCCGAGAACAGTGCCCTGGTCAGCAACATCAGCTCTGAAAACGAAGGGCTGTTTTACATGTTTTGTGAGTGGGCCTTCACACATGGAGATTAATGGGACAGTAATAGAAACTTCTTGAGTAGTACTGGTGTCTGGAGGGGCTCGGGGCAAGGCTCAGGGTGTCCAGAGGCTTGTATATGAGGAGAATCAGAGAGAGGCTAGGGCACAGAATTACTAGAAGTAAGTCTGTTTGGTCCCATCACTGCCTTTTCCTTGTAAGTTCTTTTTCTCCCCCGAGCCATAGCCAAATGCTATCTCTACTTTTCCCTTTCCTAGAGCCTGGATTTGGGATGCAGAAGTCCCAGCTCTTGATCTCTGCCATGCCTACTCCAAATGGAACTCTGGTGCACCCAGCATACTTCCTTCTGGTGGGCATCCCTGGGCTGCGACCCGACACACACTTTTGGCTGGCTTTCCCTCTGTGTCTTATGTATGCCTTGGCCACCCTGGGCAATCTGGCCATCATCCTTATTATCCGTGTGGAGAGGCGTCTGCACCAGCCCATGTACCTCTTCCTGGCCATGCTCTCCACCATTGATTTAGTCCTCTCCTCTGCCACCATGCCCAGGATGGCCAGCCTTTTCCTGACAGGCGCCCAGGAGATCGAGTTCAACGTTTGCCTGGCTCAGATGTTCCTCATCCACGCTCTGTCAGCCATGGAGTCAGCTGTCCTGCTGGCCATGGCTTTTGACCGCTTTGTGGCCATCTGCCACCCATTGCGCCATGCGTCTGTGCTCACAGGGCCCACTGTGGCCAAGATTGGACTAGCCGCCCTGGCCAGGGGGTTTGTATTCTTCTTCCCGCTGCCTTTCATCTTGAAGCGGTTGTCATACTGCCGAACACATACTGTCACACACTCCTTCTGTCTGCACCAAGATATTATGAAGCTGTCCTGTACTGACACCACGGTCAATGTGGTTTATGGACTCTTCATCATCCTCTCAGTGATGGGTGTGGACTCCCTCTTCATCAGCTTCTCCTACATCCTCATCCTGCGGGCTGTGTTGGAGCTGTCCTCTCGGGGGGCAGCACTCAAGGCTTTCAACACCTGCATCTCCCATCTCTGTGCTGTCCTGGTCTTTTATGTGCCCCTCATTGGGCTGTCAGTGGTGCACAGGCTGGGTGGTCCCACGTCCCTGCTTCATGTGGTTATGGCTAATATATATCTACTGCTGCCCCCTGTGGTCAACCCTATTGTCTATGGAGCCAAGACCAAGGAGATCCGTTCAAGGGTCTTCCATATGTTCTCGCAAGGTGGCAGGTAAGAACGACACCTACCCTAGTGTCCTCAACGCCTTCAAAGATGGGGAGATTTGTATCCTATCGATTGACTTAGTAATTGGAACATTGAACCCACTGGGCTGTTATCCAGAGAGATCTTGCATTCTGTCTCCAGGAATGTGTCAGTACAGAAGAACTTGTGGTCCTGCCTGGACAGACCGCCCTGGAGAATGACTGCCCCAGTCTCTGTGCTGTCGTGGCCTTGCCTTTTCTCTCTCTCTCTCCCAACTGGAAAATACACACAGTTTTGACATGAGAAGGCTATAAGTCTCACACATCATGATTCATTCCAGCCTTGAGCTATGATTTTAATTATTCTTTCCCTCAAGTCATGTGAATCTGTGCTGCCTATAAAAATTATTGCTCATACCCTAAAATGGTTACACCGTCATAATTTGAGGTTAAATGAAGGTAGTTGGGGGATAGTGATTAGAAAGAGATGGTAACAGGAGAGGAAGCAGCTAACGTGAAGTGTTTAAGTTTCTGTATGCATGTGGGTACAAGTGTCTTTATTTGGCATTTGTCAATGTATATCTGTGTGGCTCTATGGAGACTATTTTTCCATAAGGACGACACTGTGTATTCTAGTTGTGGGTGAGAGTGTGCAGGTATGTTTATGTGGACATATGTGCCTTTTAGTGTGAGAGAGAGTGTGCACGTGGAGTATGCCCAGCTGTGCCTCGGCGAGTGTGGTGCCGTGTCCTGGCACGTGCACGTTTCATGGCCATATCCCTGATTGTACGTTTATTGTGTTTCTGTGGTTTCTGTTTGTCCTTATGCGATGTGTGTCTCTGTGAGGATGCTGGCATCTGTCCCTGAATGGTGGGCAGTATCTCTCTGTGTATCTGATGAGAATGCTGCCTCTACCTTCTCTTCATGTCTGTACTATGTAGACTGTGGTGTGTGAGTTTGTGGAATGTGTATTACTAGGGGGGAGGGGGCTCCACCTTCTGGCATATGTGATGTTTATCTTTGGTCATAGGTCTATTGTGCATAGTATTTGTGATATGAAATCCTTTTGTGTGGTATATGTGTCATTAGTGATATGTAAGTGAAAGGCAGTATCCTAATTGTGTGTGTGTGTGTGTGTGTGTGTGTGTGTGGACACTCTGTGATGATTGTATTGTGCTGCCCACATCTGGTGCGTATGCTTTAGGGCACATGTCCTTTGCGTACTGGGTGTGGATCAGGTGGTGTGGCAGTGAGGGTGGCGTCTGTGCTCCTGGCCATCGGTCAGTGCGTGGTGCTGTGTGTGTGGGGTGGAGGCAGGAGATCGAGGAAGTCTGGTTGTGAGGAGCAGGAATAATTTCCAAAGTTGAGAGACAAGAGTCTAAGAGGCCCAGTTTCTCCATCTGGGCTCAGCCTGGGAGTATGGCTCAGTCTGTGGGGGGACGGGGGGAGAAAGGTGCTTCTTCTTTCCATCTTCTCACAGGCCAGACCACACCTTACTCATCTTGACCGCGAGGATTTCAAGTGCCTTTGCTGCCTCCTCCCACCTTCCCTGCCTACTCTACCCGGGGCCTTGGCCTCCCCAAACCCTATCCTCTGCCTCAATAGCGGGTCACGGCATCTTTACCGCTCCCCTGCCTCTCTTGCCGGTCTGCCAAACATGTATAAAAGGCCTTCATTGTAGGGAATTTCTGCTAGTCCTTCCGAGGGAGCAGGGCAGAGGGGAAGTTAGCTGAGGCATGGGAACTCCCTGAAGGCAGCAAGCTGTAAGCCTGCAGAGCTCACCTCGTTGTACACCTTGTCTTGTGCCTACTGCTCTTTAGTGTCTGATGTCCAGTGTCTTGCAAACCATTGTTTCATGCATATGGTCTCATTTTTTCCCCTTCTTGTGGGTATTACTTCCTGTTACTTCATCTTGGATAGAAGTAGAAGTCTCTTGGGTATTTTTTTTTTAACTTTTTGCATCATCTAAGTACATGGGAGGTTAACGGAAACAGCAGAGATGGCTCTAGGGTGATGACGGCAAGTGTCAGACTGCAGCTCCTGCAGGCACCAGAAGCTTTTGTAATCAATAATTTGATGTAGTCTGAATTAGAATCATCTGATTTTCCATCGTCTATTTTTTTGCTCTTGAGTTAACATGCCTTGTGTTGTGAATTTAAAACTTACAGTTGTAAAACCAATCAATAAAAAAATGAGAAGAAAACAACTACAAATCATGCTGTTCTATTTATTGACATAGTTTTCACTTATTTTAACATATAAGGCATTTAGTTTCACATTAAAATTATTCTTTAACTATCTAAAATGTACTATCACTATTTTAGCCCTGAAGAGAGAAACCAGATGGCATTGGGCTTGTATGGCTGGTGTTGGGGTTAGGGAGGGTTAAAGAAAAAACATCCTCCTTCCCCAGCTACAAGTTCTTCCAGGCAGTGGAAGGCAGAGGCACTGTCCCTGGGGACCTCTGTTATGAGTTAGCCAGACACAGGCACAGAGCCTGGGAGAAAAGAAAAGAGATCCCTAAGGGCATTGGGGAAGGGAGGCTGGGACTACTGAGCTCAAGAAGGACCTAAGCAGTGTCCACCATGGGACAGACGGCAGGGGAGAAAGAAACCTTCAGAATGGAAATGGGCTGACACTTAATCATGGGGTTTTCCTGAAAACATGACTTGCCTTTCTTCTGACCTGTGAAGAAATTTGGAGAAAGACCCTCACAAAGACCATGGCCACACACAGGAGTTTCTTCTAGTTTTTTCTTATTCGTTTCTCCTGTCTAACTTCATCTTGGGAGCCAGCAGAAATGTCCCAGCTGGCACAAGCCCATTGGAGAGGAGTCTAGAAACCTCTCTACCCACTGCCCCTCCTCTCCACACCCCCGACACGTGGTCCCAGGATGCAGAAGCCGAGGAGGAAACCCAAACCTCTGGGGTTACTGGAGGGTAGCTGCCAGTGGACCACCTGGACAGCACTCTGCCCTCCAGCAGGAAGAAGCAGAAAGAGGGAGGAGGTAAGGCAGAGAATAAACAACCCTGACCAGGGAGGTCCAAAGGAGGAGGCGGAGTTTGAGAGGCTGTACTTCAGCGCAGCCTGCCAGACCTCTTCAGGAAGAGTGCTGGACAAAAGGGGACACGCGTTCCTTCCGGACAGTTGAGGTGAGTGCAGGAGATCTGGGGCACGTCCAGGTGTGTGGGCTTCTTGTAGTGAAGGATCTCCCATACGACCTGCTGAGGGACTGAGAAACCGGGCTGGAAACAACCAGAAGTGGGGAGTGTCAAGGAAGCCCCTGACTCAAGGGACAGGCAGCCTTAGCAATTTCTAGGTTTGTTCATTGAAGGTGTTAGAAGTTGCCTGAGGATAGTTTTCAAGCAGTGACCAGCTTGCTAGGGTACCCATCTAGAGGCCGGCAGGGGCTGGTGTGAATGAAGGTGAACAGGGTCTGAGCGCAGCCTGGGTTGGGGTTAGATTTGGGCTGGATTGGGGTTGGGTTGGGGTTTGGTGTGTGAACAGAGCCAGTACGCAGATCGTTAGTGTGGCTGAAGCTCAGTCTGTGACTGGGGTTCCTGCTACAGCTGGGGTCCAGGTGAGAGCTCTGAGGGGTCGGGGCCATTCTATACTGTCCATTGGGAGTCAGGCTGTGGCTGAGACTAGGGCTTTGTAATCTTCCTGGGGCTCTGGTCCTAGATAATCTGTCTTCCGGATCAGGATTCAGTCTTCAGCCCATGTAAAGCGTGGACTAGTGTCCACAGTGCACCCTCCTCTGCCTTGCACTTTCCCTAGCCACACTGCGCCACTTGCAGCTCTCTAAGAAAGGTCTGTTCTCATTCTCTCTGGGTCTTTGCATATGCCAGAGTGTAATTTTAAGAACAAATTAGATCAAGTTTGTTGATTAAATTCTCCCAAGTCACTTAGAATTAAAGCAAAGCTCCTTGCCATGCTGTGCAAGCACCCTTACATGATCTGGCCCTGCCCTCCCAGACCTCATCTAAAGCTCTGCTGTGCGATTGATGCTCCGGCCGCCTTGACCTGCCTTCCATGAACACCCCAAACTCATTCTTGCCTGAAGACCTTATTCTCTTGCTGTCTCCTGTGCATGGAAGGCTCTTTCCTTAGATCTTAGAATGGCTGGTTTTTCTCATCACACGGCTCATATATCCTCAGAGAGGCTTTCTCTGGTCCTGTCTCAAATATGGATCCCAGCTCCCATCTTTCTCTATCCTATCATTCTGCCTTGTGTTTAGTACACTTTACCTGAAATTCTGTTGCTTATTTATTTTTTACATTTTGCTGTTGACCTCCTAGTATATGAGACCCATGAGAGCAGTGATCTTGTCTGTTTCATCCGCTGTTTGATCTCCAGTTTTGACACTCAGTATGATTTTGTTTACTTGAATACTGCTGTCTCCAAGTTCCCCCTAATGGCCTGGTTAAGTACAAGTGGTCCATCAAGTCATGTCCAATGTCACCTCCTCAGGGAAGCCTCTGAGCCTGCAAAGCTTGGTGAGCTGATGTTCCCTTTGCTTCTGCACCTTTTGTGCTTACCCTTGTCCTGACTCTCATCACAGTGTGCTGTGATGCCCGCCTGTTTGTCTCAGTTCCTCCCTGCCCCTGGAGGGCTGGAACTGTGCCTTCTTTACTCTGGGCCTTAGTATCTCCAGTGATCAGTGCAGAGTTAGTCAAGCAATAGTTGTTGAAAAAATGAGTGCACTGACAAAAGTCCCACATCAGGCACTTCCTCAGCCAGAGTAGCCCCAGAGGGCACTGATACCTAAGTCCAGCTTCGCAGGTCTGTAGAACAGTTATATGGCCCTGCTCGGGAAGTGGAGAGGTAGGAATTCTGCCTGGGGGTGACTTTAGGTGGCCAGGCTGACTTGAGTGAGTAGAGTGGGGTGGGAGCCTCCCTTTGATTTTCTGGAGTTAGAAATTTTACTCTTCATTTTTTGTGGCCAACACCTTGCAAGAGTTCATCTGCTTTGTCAAACTCAACCAAGGTGTAGGGGACTGCAGATGCAGATAATTTGGGAGGTGGATGGGATTCTGGGGCTACTACTGTTACAGAGTTTTAGGGAAAGGGCTTTCTCTCCAAGAATCAAGTGAGAAGCTCCCACAGTCCTTGCCAGCCACAGCACTGTCCCTGAGGTCTGCCTTTCCTGTCTGGACCTGGGAATAGACACCAGAGGCTCCCAGGATTGTTTGGGCTTCCCTCCAGAGACAGTTTGGGGTTCCCTCCAGAGAGATTCTCTTCCAACTATTCTTAAAGGCTGGCAGTAGCAAAGAGGGCCCCACTCCATTGCTCTGGGCATGGGGCCTTCTGTGTGTTTAGCCTAGAGAGTGACAGTGACCACAGATCCCCTCCTTGCTCTCCCTCCACACTGAACCTAAGTGGGGAGAGCTGTTCTGATATTCTGAGTCATAGAGGGACCTTTGGACTTATAGGCCTTCAATTTTGGATTCCTTGGTGATTAACATTGAAAAATCTCTTAAAAAGCACCCGTCCATTCTTAAGGAGACTGGTGAGGGCAGGGCAATAGCCTGGCATATTGGAAAGCAATGGATTTGGCGTAAGGACCTTAACCCTTAACATCCTTATCTGTCAAATGGGATTAATAATACCTACTCGACAGGTTGAGGAGAGGCTCTAATCAGACAAGAAGGAAATACTTGGTAGAGGATAAAGCTTTTGAATCTCCATTGTGGGACCTGCCAATGTCACAGCCAGGGAAGATGGGGCTGGAAGAGGAGGCAGGTGCCCTATGTCCCTATTCAGGAAAGCCCTTTTGGCTGCCCTCTTGATTTTCCATCTAGGAGTTTATAGGGGTCCGGTGGTGGACTTACCACGTCCTTCTTCTACCTCGTCTCTTGAGCAGATGTTATTAGCTTTCAGAAGGTTTACCACAATTAGAGAAGGCCTAGAATGAAGGAAAACACACAGGTCCTGGTGTTAGACAATCTAGGTTAAGTTACTGCTTTAGCAGTCAATTGTTAAGCCCTGGGAGTATTATCTAACCCTTTGGAGCTTCAGTTTTCTCACCTATAATATGAAAAGGACACATAGACCTCCTACCATGCGGACCTGTTCTCGGGTTATTATTAAAGATAATCTTTACACAGATGGCACTGTATAGTTTCTGGCATTTTGTAGACAATAAATAATCTATGTTCATAACATAAAATCAACAAAATATGGGCTAAGAGTGACCTGTTGTTCTCTAGGGTCAGAAGAGATAGGGCTAATAGCCTCTGGTATACCTCCCTGATTGCTTTTCCATGGGTCTATGAGAGGGAAGGAATTCAGAGTTCTAGGGAAGAGTGTGAGGATGGGCGGGTTGTTGATGGTGGCTGAGGTGGCATGGAAAGACTTGAGTCCTGAAGGCAGGGGGAAGGAAGGAACAGGACTGAGGGCCTCAAAATGGATTTCCAGTCTGCGCAGCTGGGGCTTGCTTTCTCATTCCTGAGAAATGGCTAAGATGTCCTTCATAGTTCTCTAAGACATATTCCTAGGACTTGTTAAGATAGTTCTACTTTTTTAGAGAAAAATCTCAAGCATAAAGCTCTTCCCTGGAGATTAGGGCAGTGTGTGGGCTTTCTTAAAAAAAAAAAAATGAAAAGCTTTCTCAGTTTATTTTTCCTTCATTGTGTTTTACTTTTAATATAGAATGATTGAATTCCAACTTCCTCCGAAGCTCCAAATCATCTCTCTGAGTCCTAATTACTAATAGCTGCTTAGACTTGAGGGCCACCTGGAAGTCATCCTGTCCCTCTTTCTGCCTCTTGGAGGGACCGTTGGAGATTTGGATGCTTCAGGGCTGGATGGTCTGAAGGGTGGTACTTGGGTTGTCTGGCTGGCTCCCTCTACATTCCTTCATTTCGCTCCTGCTGCAGACTTCTGAGGGCTGGCTTGCTAGTTCACCTCCAGCTCTAGCTGCCTGTGTTATGCTGCCTAGCCACCTTGCTCCCAGGCTAGCTGGATCTTCCCCTTTCTTATTTTTGATATCTCTATATCAGTGCCCACTCTTGCCATTGTGAGAGATCGACTGCGAGTCAGTATGTATGTGCCTGAGTGTGTGCATAGGGGCCGAATGATGATAATGGTGACACATATTGGGAAATGAAGGCATTTAGAAACTTCCTACATTTTCAGAGGCCTTGTTCCCCTTTTTGGTGGAAGAAATGTGCTATGTGCACTGCGATTAAGTTTTTGCAACTTCCTTCAACATACTTTATCTCATATAATTTCACAGCAGCACTATGAAGCTATTATTATTCTCTGCATTTATTAAGAGCCAAGACTTGCATTCCAACACCAGGATTCTGCTCGCTATGTCTCTTTATCTTCAGAGGCAATAGGGTTGCTTATGCTCATGTATGATTCTTTCCCAATATGTTTCCTAAGGCAGCACATTTTCATCCTGGGGACCACCCTGCTCTACTATGTTTGTTTGTATAAAATTGCGGGATGGCAGAGATATCTGGCCCTCTGGAGTACTAGAATCTTCTTGCTGATGTCTCCAGGTGAGGGATCCTAGGTTTCCCCTGCTCTCAGGCACAAACTATGCTGCATGTATACTAATTAATACATATAGTAGGGTCCCCAGCATTAAGGAGCTCATAATTCAGGGGAAATAAATATAGCAATAGCTATTATAGTTATTATTATCAGGATGGTAAATGCAAATAAAAAAGACCTAAATAAAGTTCTTTGGGAGCACAGAGAAGCAAACATTTAATTATACCCAGGGGAAAGAGGCTTCGTGATAGTAGTGTATCAAACAGTAAGCCAGGATGAGAAAAATGAGTGTGGTCAAGGAGGGAGATCTGGGGTGGGGGTAGAAAGCGGTTCTCTGGACAAAGGTATGAGAAATAAAAAGACAGAAATATGCAGAGTGACAAAAATCAGTGAAACATTTATGAAATGCCATTGGAGCACAGGGGTCATAGAGAGGGGTGATGAGGGAGCATGTAGGGTCAGATGCTGAAATATAGACTGTTAGCTACTTCCTAAGGGGGTTAGTCTTATTCTAGAATCAATTTGGAGTTTCAAGGGTATTTTTTGAAACAGTAGGTAGTGACCTGATTTCAACTGGTTAGAGTATGGGGACTGTGCGGATGAGGAGGTTCACACTAGAGGCACAGCAGTCAGGGTCCAAGCACCTTGCTTATGAGACTGCTCAGGCCACTGTAACAGAGAAAAGAAATACTGGAGGGAAACAGGTATCATTTTTTTGCATACTTACTATGTGTGGGGTATGGATTAAATGCTTTACGCCTGTCATATCATGTAATCCTCACTTTGACCCCTATTAGCCAGGTTCTATTATCGTCATTTTAAAAGTGAGGAAACTGAGGCTTAGGAAGGTTAAATGATTTTCCCCAGATCACACAGCTCATGAGGTTGTTGACTGAGATTTCAATGCAGGATGGAATTTGACGCTCACTCTACACAGCTGTACAGGCTGTCTGTGGAAGAGCTCAGTTTGGGGGACATGGAGAGTTTGATGTACTTGAGAGACAACCAGGTGGACCCTTTCAGTAAGAATTTAGAGTTATGAATCTGGATCACAAAAGAGAATTCAGAGCTCACTAAATAGATTTGGGAAACAATATAATCTATCTATCTATAAATAGATTTACTGAAAGGGATGAGATGGTCAGGGAAGAAAGTATGGAACAAGAATAACCCTGAAGATAAAAAAAGAACATTATGATGTAAGGGTATGTTATAGAGTCACGAAGAGGAAGGTGGAGATCCAGAAAGGAGACTAAGAACTAGTGATGAGAGGGAGATAAGGGACAGCAGGACAGAGAGGGAAGAGTTTAAGAAGGAGGGGACTGCTCATGGTGCCTCATGCCACAGGGAAACTACAGAAGAGTGCAGGGACATTGATGACTTGGGCCTCTTTGCCAAAATTCTAGGTTAAACATAGTTTCTCTGCCTTAAACCTTCTCCTTCCAGCAGATTGAATTGAAGTCTGTCACCCTCTGTTTTAAAACTCATGCTCCTGGTGTTTTCCCACTGAACTCTTTCTGGGAACCTCCAGATGACAGCTGGAACCACTGATGGAACCATTATCACTGACACATCCTGAGTCCATTGAATGGTCTATTACCCCTCCTATGCTGGCCATGAGCCTGCCTCACACTCAAGTGCATCCTGGTAACCCATGCCTGAAGCCCCTACCCCAGGTCTCAAGGTTTGAAACTATTTGAAAACTACAAAGTACATAATCTAATGATCTGATGAATACAGGTTGACTATTCCTAGTCTAAAAATCAGACATCTGCAGTGCTCCAAATCTGGAACTTTTTGAGTGCCAACATGACACTCAAAGGAAATGCTCATTGGAGAATTTCAAATTTGAGATTTTGAGATTAGGGATGCTGAACTTGGTGAGTATAATGCAAATATTTCAAAATCTGAAAAAATCTGCAATCAGAAACACTTCTGGTCCCAAGCATTCTGGATAAGGGATGCTCAACCTGAGGTAGGAGCACATGAGTATTTGTGGATGGAAGGGAGGAAGGGAGCTAGTTAATTCTTAACAGAGAGATGCAATTTAAGATAACTCAAGTCTGACATTTTCCACCTCAGCAATATCTCTTTACATATCAGCTTTATAGCCAGATTAAATTCATATTCAGCCTGAACCCTGCTCTAGGATTGATTATTCCTCAGTGTTTCCAATGCCATCGTCACTCAGAGTTAGTGTTCTAATTGTGTCAATCCCACTCTCTTAGGCTGGATGGGTCTCCTAGAAGCAGATCCTGAAATGGGGATTCTTGTCCAAAAGATATATTGAGGGAGTGATGTCATGAGAAGAAGCAGGAGGGAAGCTGGCTAGGGCAGGAGACAAAAGCTAAGCAAGGATGTGGTCTCAGCTGGAGGCCAGCCTCAGCACAGTTCCTTGGGAAGCTGTGAAGCACAAATTGCACCACAGTGTTGTTCCCACCTGGATGCAAGGGCTGGCCTTTGTACCCTTATGTTAGGCAGTCACTGACCTCTAGATGTGCCTCATGAGGGCATGGTGTAATCTCCTGGGTGAGGTGCCTCCCATTTCACCAAAGACAATTCTTTGGAGAAAGGGGAAGCTGTGAGGCCTTAGCATTCAACACTCACTGCAGATGGGAGATTGGTGTGTTGGCTTTGTGAATGGGATCTGGGTGGGATACCTATGGCACTCACTATAGCCATTGTTCCTTTTCCAATATAAACTGAGTAGTCTGGACAAGTGTAAAACTATGGACAGGCACGTGGGCAATTGTGAAATATGGAGTTAGAGTTCAGGATGAAGGTAGTGTCAGGTTTTAATGGATTAGGGTTCATCATAATAAAATAGGTTCCATTAAGTTCTAGATTAAGGTTGAAATGGCTATTAAGTTTAGATCTTTGGTTAATGTCAAAGTTAGGGTTAAGACTAGAACTGGTGACATCATTAGATTAGTGATGAGGTTATGTTTAAATGTCAATCTTTGTTACTATTAGTAGTGCTGCATTTGGACTGGAATTCATTGTAGAGATAGTCTAATGATATGCTTAGAATTACAGTAAGAGTTAAGCATAGGGAAAGATAGGATAGAATAGAAGAAATGATGAGAATTTTTTTTACCGTCCAAGACTGATGTATACTCAGTAGCCTTTTTTTGGATAACTAAATGATTTAAAATAGACTGAAAAAATTTTATCTTAGTATTTCACTGGCTATCAGGATTGATATTGATGGGGTAAGTAAGTGGAACTGGGTAAATTTGCCCCAGATCCTTCAATTTGGTTAGAGTGAATTTAGAATAGGATAAAAATTTGGATAGGCAATGGAATTAGAGTTTGGGTTTGAGAATAGGACATCAGGAGGTGTGGTATTGGGATTTTGGAAGATCTGACAATGGCTTATCTTTACATTCCAGCCTCTACCTGCCTGGTGCTGGTGACAGCTCATCTTTTTCACTATGGTGGCCCCCAATGGCAATGAATCCAGTGCCACATATTTCATCTTAATCGGCCTCCCAGGCTTGGAAGAAGCTCAGTTCTGGTTGGCCTTCCCTTTGTGCTCCCTCTACCTTATTGCCGTGCTAGGAAACCTGACAATCATCTACATTGTATGGACTGAGCACAGTCTACATGAGCCCATGTATATCTTTCTTTGCATGCTTTCAGGCCTTGACATTCTCATCTCCACCTCATCCATGCCCAAAATGATGGCGATTTTCTGGTTCAATTCCACTACCATCCAGTTTGATGCTTGTCTGCTACAGATGTTCGCCATCCACTCTTTATCTGGCATGGAGTCCACAGTGCTGCTGGCCATGGCCTTTGACCGCTATGTGGCCATCTGCCACCCACTGCGTCATGCTACTATGCTCACGTTGCCTCGTGTCACCAAGATTGGCGTGGCGGCTGTTCTGCGGGGGGCTGCGCTGATGGCACCCCTGCCTATCTTCATCAAGCGGCTGCCCTTCTGCCACTCTAACATCCTTTCCCATTCCTACTGCCTACACCAAGATGTCATGATGCTGGCCTGTGCTGACAACCGGGTCAATGTCATCTATGGCCTCATTGTCATCATCGTTGCCATTGGCCTGGACTCACTCCTAATCTCCCTTTCATATCTGCTTATCCTTAAGACTGTGTTGGGCTTGACACGGGAAGCCCAGGCCAAGGCATTTAGCACTTGTGTCTCTCATGTGTGTGCTGTTTTTATATTCTATGTGCCTTTCATTGGATTATCTATGGTGCACCGCTTTAGTAAGCGGCGTGACTCGCTCCTGCCTGTCATCATGGCCAACATCTACCTGCTTGTTCCTCCTGTGCTCAACCCTATCGTCTATGGAGTGAAGACAAAGGAGATCAGGCAGCGCATCCTTCGTCTTTTCCATGTGGCCACACACACGTCGGATCCCTAGGTGTCAGTGATCTAACGTCTTTTCCATCCAAATTCTTCTGATTCAGAATTTCATATCAAGATTTTGGAAGACAGTGTTAAGAAAATACATCTCCCATAATAAAAATACAACTCAGATCCTTCAAAGATGAATCTGGTTGGGGAATCTCCATGTGGAAAGGGATAGTAGGATCATATACTCCCAATCTCAATGTTTCAATATGTTTTCCTCTTTGGTTTTACTCTCTGTATAATTATTAAGAACCTGAGTTGGTTGTGGTTAGAAGTTTATTATTTTCCATTTTACTGTCCCTTTTAAATCTAAACTGATACTACTGATGGTCCACAGCATTCTGAGATAAGGATGGAATATCTAAAGAACATTTACCAAAGGCTTAAGCATGGCAAAAGGAAAGTAAACACAAGGATACAATAACATGAGATAATCTGTCCTAAAAGTGTCACTTTCTCTTCAGAACTTCCAACTATATTGGATCTCAGGAAAAGAGATGTACCTGGATTACCTTCTTCAAAATTACCTATACAGAGAAGAAATAATTTCTTTTCTTCTGGGCACTAGCTCTTAAGGGAAAGATTGGAAGTAAAACCTTGAAAAGACTACATTTGCTTACATTAATGATAGATGACACACTCTGTTGTTTTCATAGCATATGGACACTCTTTTTTTTCTATTTAATTTTCTAATGAATCTTTTTATTTAGGCAGGGATATTATTAGTACCCTAGTTGTAGCAATGGGGAAATTGATGTTCAGTGGGGATCAGTGAATTGCATGAGGTCACACAAGCTCAAAAAAAAAATAAGACTTGTAGTGTCCAATCTCATATTGTGTAGAAGAACTGTTAAAGAGACCAGTAGGAGAGTGAGTTAGGCATTTCCAGAGTCTTGCAGTTTCTAGAGAAGGTATTTAATTACTTCTCACTCTTCTAATGTTGTATTTAGGAGTTTCCCGACAACAGAACTCATGGCTTTAATCCCAAGAACTCTTGCTCATTGTCCTGGTCCAGTTGTCACTGTACCTGTGTAGAAACATAAGTATGTTTGGGGAGTGGCTTGTTTGGGAAATAGTGTGATTAGCAGTGGAGTCACTGCGACATCTGAGAGACAGTTTATAGAGAGAAACAGCTGAGAACATCCAGCAGCCCAAGGCAAAATGGCAGGACTAGCTACCACAGACCAGGGAGTCAAGAGCAAGAGGCACCAGGAGGCTGACTAGGGACAGTGGCCCATGTGGCTGTCCAGGAAGCAAGGCAAAGGGAAGGATGGGACCACAAAAAGTGAGGAAAGCATATAAGTGGACACCACACATCCCCAGATCTTTGAACTGTCCTGCCGGAGAAGCTCGCAGCGTTGATAATTGGATAATAAGACTGTAGGTCAAGGTAATAAATACTGCATCTCTGACAGCTGTATTTAGCATGGGTGTAGCCCAAGAGACTCATCTGGGAGACCCACAAACCAGGCACAGCACTTCCAGAGGGAAGCAGAATAGAAAGGAGTGGGTGTGGCCACTGCAGTAGGAGTGAACAAGGCAGGAATGAGATCACCACCCACAGGGGATGCTGGTCAGACCCAAAGTGAGGTAGGTGAGTAGGAGAGGCAGGCAGCATAGTGGAGAGCATGACACATGGCCAGCCAGAATCTTCTGACATAATTACTATTACAGAGGTGTACCTGATAGAGAGGACACATAGAGGCAGCATATCTAACTTCTTGAACTAGAATCTGGAAGATAAGAATTATGGGCAATGTGGATTCTGCTATGCCCAGGTGAGTGGTGGCCAACAGTACTAGGAGAATAAACTAAGGTCAGTGCAGGGTTTTGTCACTTTGAACTTTATGGAGGGTCAGCCCTTTGCCCAGAAGTGCCCTGCCATTGATATTGAGAGAAAAAGACAGAATGAAAGCCAGATGTTTTTCTTATGTAGAGCAATATATGGTAATCTTAAACAAAAATCTTAGAAACAAAAATCTTAGAAGCCCTAAAGAGATAAAAGAAATAAAAATGTAATGAAAACCTTCAATAAAGTTGTCTCATTAAAATATTAAACATTGCTAGTATTTTGGGGTTTATTCTTCCAGATTTTTAATATGTATTTGTGTGTATGATTTTGCATGAGCATATGATAAATGTGTGCATCTGTTTCATATTTGGAATCCTACTGAAGACAGACTTATTAATGTTATCCATGATGGATAATAGTTAGTTAAATCAGAAAGACTCATTTTAAAATTTTTCTAGGTATGCAGTCATTATCACAGATTTTACAATGGACTTCAAGTCTATGAGAGTGAATATGCCCAGGATATGCTTTGATATGCCAAGATATTCTTCGATCCTGAGTGATTTAACCATTTTGTGAATGTTAATACACAAACACATCCCCCCACCCACACCTTCCTTACATTTCCCAACAAGTATTAAATACCAGAAACAGCAGCAAAAATATAGCAGGAGAGAACCCAGAGTTGAGAACCAAGTTGAGGAGTAGATACATCCTCTTTTAAGGGATTTTGCAGGACAGTTAGGATATGTTCTAGACAAAGGCCTTCATCATATGCCCTTCACGGTGGGCATTCTTTTACCTTGCCCATTTCCTTTGCTTGGATCCTTTTGTCTCCGGCTCTACCATCTTAGCCACTTGGACCTTTGTTGGGTCTTGGAGAAGTCTGAATGATATTACATTTCAGTCTCTAAATCACTGATTCTTTTAGGTTTTATTTAGAAATATTTCATTAACACGTCTTGTGCCCTCTATTATGACTATCAATGCTTAGGTCCAGATACGTCTTGTGTGGACAATTGCCACAACCTCCACCTAGGAATCCTTGCCTTGAGCATCTTTTGCACTAGTCCTAAATCCCACGTAGCTTGGAGGTGTTGTTCTAAAGACAACTCTCATTATCTTATTCCCCTGCTTAAAACCCAGCAAAGGTCTTTTACTGCATCCTTTATACAGTCCAAACTTCTTAGAATAACAGTAGCTTCCTCTTCCCTTTGTACCTCTTCCCATCCTATTTTTCTAATATAATGTCTCTGATGTTTCTATATACTAAATCATTCAGCTTTATAATACTTGATATCTCTCAATGTTTTCATGTACTTTTAAGTCTGTATTCCCTTCATATGAATTTTGTGTTGTCATTTTTCTTTTAGTAACAACTCATAAAATAAAGCTCTTTGTGAATTATCCGACCAAAAACTGTGTTCTCTCTCCAGTGTTCCCAGATCTCTTCATGCAACTGAGACTGCTGAGTAATATCTATTCAAGTTAATAAACTGGATTATATCATTTCTTTAATTCAGTTGAGATAAGACTCACATACGTGTGGATGGTCATCCCTTTCACTGTGTCTGGCTTTCTTGAGATAGAAAGACCTGGATTTGGGTAGGAGCCATACTATTCCATTGATTTAGGGTTTCAGAGTCAATGTTCATTGTTTATCTCTCAGACATAGTATGCTCAAAGTTCTTCTTCCCTGGAATCTTGTAGCTTTTTATCTTGGACTTGATAGAAAGGGAGTAAAGCTGATGCCAAAACAGATTGTGGTCTTGCCTCTTTCACTCATAAGGAAGCCAAAGGAGATGCAGGGCTTTTCACTCTAAGACAGGCGAAGGAAGTGGGTATGGAGAATCTGGAGGAAACCTGAAGTGGGACATGAAAGAGAGTGCAATTGTCGGTGTCAGACTTCAGCATGGGTACTGCCAGGCAAGGGAGGCTTTTGGAGCAATGGACATTCCTGAGAGAGGTCACAAGAAGAACTGGTGCTGAGGCAGGCAGCGCCATACTAGCCAGCATCACTTGATCAATACATTTATTTATTTATTCACTTATCCAATAAACATCTATGGGAAAAATCTATTGATATAAAGAACCATGTTAGGGAAGCTGGGGATATAAAGAAGATTAAGACAGAGGACCTGACTTAAGAGAGCTTTCAGGTACGGCATATTCTCTTAACATTGTATACGTGAGCTCACACCTTGACCTAAAGTATACTTTAAGAAAAAATTCTGTTACTGAAGTTGTAGGAAAGAGTTGGTGTGAGTGGGAGCAAGTCCACTTTAGGCCACAGGTGCCAGGGGAGCTGGTATAGGAAATAGAGCTGTTATTTTTCCAGGGTCTTCCTCTGAGACTTTTCCAGAGCACTGACTTCCTCCCAAACCCATTTTCCCCTCCTTTTTTCCCCCACTTATTCTTCCTTTTAATCTTTTTCACCATCATTATTGAGAGGAAACATATTCCCTATTTTTAAGCTGTTCCTGGTGATTGTGGATTATTTTTCTGTATTAAAATATAGGTATACCACTGGAAGGAAGCCACACTTCCAAAGATAGAGGGAGGATTCCTGAAGGCAGAAATTACTTCTAGTGCAAATCAACCAGAGAAGGTGTGTCTTTAGAAAAGCTAGATAGTGGGAAGGAATACTCTAAGAAGGGGTGAAAGATGTTCTCACTCTTTTTGATCTAGACTTGGAAAGTTTTATTTCAATAACTTTTTACTAATACTTGTATTTGCTGCTAGACTGTAAGTACATGAGGGCATTGTTCATTATTGAATGCCATCTCTGTTCATTGTTGAATCTATTTTTGCTTATCATTGAATCCCCAGCAAAGTACCTAGAATGTGGTAGTGCTTGTGGTAGACACTTTCTACTTTTCAGATGATTAAATTCCAGCCATTACTTCCAATGTGAGTGGAAGTGACATGTGACACATCTATGCCTGCCTTATAAAGCCCCCCATGTGCAATCTTCCACATTGACAGTAAATGTGACTTGGAAAGCTGTGTGTTACACATGGTAAACCACAGCAGCCTGGATTCTTCCTCAGAAAACTCTGTATAACCTGACTCCTCCCACTTGCAACTCCCAGTTATACTTGCACCTGGGAGTTGAAAAAGTGAACAATAAACTGCTAATGTGTCAAGTCTCTGAAAATGTTTTTGTTGTTCTTAAGGTTTTCTAGCCTTGTAAACATAGCAATAATTTAATAGTTGTTGAGTAAATAAATTAAAAACTAAAGGAAATAAAACATGAAAAGTAAGGGTTTCAGGTAAAGATTGCTCTTTATCCTTTTAGAGCAGACATTGGAA